CCGTGGGCCTGGATCAGGGTTCAGGTTAGGCACCGACTGCCGCCGAGCCGCTGTCCCCTTACGGGCTTGCTGCCTGCCGTGCTTGCTTGGATGAGTCTGCGACATGCCTAATAAGAGACGAGATGGGCCAGGGCGACGAGAGCGACCGCATTGTGATCAACGTGGGAGGGACTAGGCACCAGACTTACCGCAGCACCCTACGCACCCTGCCCGGCACTCGGCTGGCCTGGATCGCCGAACCCGATGCCCACAGCCACTTCGACTATGACCCCCGCACGGATGAGTTTTTCTTTGACCGGCACCCGGGCGTCTTTGCCCACATCCTGAATTACTACCGCACTGGCAAGCTGCACTGCCCCGCAGACGTATGCGGGCCCCTGTATGAGGAGGAGCTGGCCTTCTGGGGCATCGATGAGACCGATGTGGAGCCCTGCTGTTGGATGACCTACCGGCAGCACCGCGACGCCGAAGAGGCTCTGGACAGCTTTGGTGGGGCACCCCTGGATAGCAGTGCCGAGGACGGAGACATAGATGGCACCGGAGACTCTGGTGATGGTGAAGAGGAGCTGGAGATGACAAAACGCCTAGCACTTAGTGACTCCCCAGATGGCAGGTCTGGGGGCTTCTGGAGACGGTGGCAGCCCCGCATCTGGGCACTCTTCGAGGATCCCTACTCATCCAGATATGCAAGGGTAAGCTATGCAATCAGCACCCTCATCAAAACACTCGAATCTCCCTTCAGTCCCACTTCCTCCCAGCATCATCAGGGTTATCTCCACTGGCAGAGCAGAGCAGCCATCCATGTGTGTGGCCATACAAAAATCACACACGGGCTATGGGGACATAACCCATGCTCTCAAGCAGGCCCCATGCATGGGGCATGAGTAGACACTAAGGCATGAGCTCGTGTACTCGTATGTGGGCTTCCAGAGACCCTTATTTTCTAACAGGCTCCTAAAAACCCACAGCCTGGGGCAGGGTCCCATTCAGAGGCCAGGGATATCTCCATTATACCAGGTAATGTCCCTCCATGGCCAGATTTTTACAGTCAGTCATCCCCCAATAAAGAGAGACACCTTGTCCAGCCTTCTATGAGCTAACGGCTCTCTCCCCTTTACAAGACAGAGAAAGGATCATGGGAGCAGGCAACCCCTCTGGGACCAGGGAATTTGGGGAGTTTCTCAGCCTGGACTGGAAAGGGAGTCTGTTCCTTTCTCTTTTCTCATACATGCCATGTTAAATATTTATGATCATGCTTCTCTGCGAATGGGGAATTCAGTTGCTCACTTACCTCCTCACTCTGTCTTTTCCCTTGTGGGAAATGCAAAGTATTAATCAGAGGAGAGAGTTCATTCATGTAGAAGGGACACTGTGTTTGACAGGTTTCTTGCCTGGCTACTGAAGGACAACTCCTCCCCTCCTGGTGCCTGCAGTTGTTTTGGAAAAGGAATGCACACTGGTGCAGTTCACAGCATAGCTGTGGATAAAGATGGTCTTAAACAGCCATCTGACTCCTCTAAGTAGGTACCTTTCATACTATTACATAGGAGGATAATTACATTAATTAGGATTTGATTCTGCTCCTGAAGTCAAAAGTAAAGAAAACATCTACTTCAGGAACAGCAGCAGGATTAACCCCCAAGATACCCATATTGATAAGCAGGAAAATAGATGAAGGATAGTGCCTTCACAAAGAAATTGGTTTGGATAGGTTTTACTCCTCTCTTAAATGTACCTTTGTTACAGCATAATTGCCGCCAGCCCTCGGTAGGGACGAGTGGTGCTTTGGTGTGGGAGGATGATCAGTGTTCTTGAGAAGGATCAAAGAAGTGAGATCAGATTAGAGAGAAAATTGGATGGATGGAGGAAAGAGAAGTGGAAATGCAGGGAGCAGGGACAGGGGAGCTGATTGTGTATGAATGGGTGGTGGAAGAGCAGCTGCTGGAGACTTTTGGTCTGAGCAGAGATCTCCAGCAGGGAGCTGCCAGGTCTGCAGACTGAATGAATGGGGAAAGCTGGAGCAGAGCCTGGAGTTATATCTCGGTGCATTTCTAAAGATTCTTGTTTGCATACTCTTTGGAGATTTCCTCCCTGAACAAAGAAGTTAATATTTTAAATGAATTCCTTTAAACAGCATGGAGGATAAAGGAATAATAAAATATTTACCACAAGATGAAAGGATGACGCTGTTGAATTGCAGCTTTCAAATCCCTGATTTCTGCCAAGGGAACATGGAAATGGAGAGGGAAGGCTGGAGGGTATCCTTCAAAAGGCTTAGTTAGCTTCCTTTAATCAAGCCCAACATTAGCAGGCGTTGATTTGAATAGCAGATCTCTCTGGTGCCCAAGAATCTGTTGGTAAGACACATTTCAAGTCAAAGCAGTGTGCTTGTCCAAGATTTTATGGAATGGTCCAAAAGCCAAATGGGTAATGTTGTCCCAATGAAAAGGTTACAAACAGAGGCTAAAACACCCTTTTGCTTGAAAGCATTAGGATATTTTTAAGTTGGAGGACAGTATCTATAACCAATATTAAGAGTCTTTGTGATGCACAAGCTGGAATTCTAGGAGGATATAAATTCGATTTTCTAATTCTCTATGGGTATTTTCATTTAGGAATAGGCATTTCATAAAGTGATTTGGGTTTGGGTTGGTTTTTTTTTTTTGCAGTGGATGTTATACCATTTATTCACAATTACATGTGCATACCTGGTAGAATTCAACCCCTGATTTACCTCTAACTTGTTCTTTCTTTAAAGGATTGTTAAACTAGAGAAATACAAATTCTGGGCAAAGTTGAAGTGTATACTGAATATTTCATGGGTTAAATATGATTCTTTAACTTGTATCTATGGAGACATAGGCGATATGCATTAATATTTTGCATGAAGGAAGATGGCTTTCATCATCAACACATGCACACACTGTCCATTAAGAAGACATTATAAGACACTTAACATTTTCTAATAAAAGCCATATGTTATGGTTATGGATGTAAAAAGAGATGGGAGTTTGATTTATGCTCCTGTAGAGACACAGACATTGCAAAAAGACCTCAACCTCACAATAGCTAATTTACAGTAAAATAACTGATAGCATCATTAACTAGTGAATAGTATATTAAAGCAATCATTAGTAAAGTAGTCAGGCAACAAATCCGCTGTTACCTCACTTTTAATTGTGTACGCTACTTTCAATTACAAATTTCAGTCATGCAAAAATTTAAATTCACATTGCCATTTTGTCACAAAAATACATGACAAAACTTTGTCATCCTAATTGGATCTGAGACTTCTACTAATGGTGGTTATTATATACATGTTTGGTGTTTACATATGGCACCAAAATGTATGTCAAAATAACAACATAAGCATTGGTTTACATAACCATTATACGGTTACACTTGGGCAAGTAAAAGGAACACAGCATATGAATATTAAGATTAAATGAAAACCTGCATATCTGAATAAAGCAAGATTTCTCTGGACTATAGCTGGTACACTAATTCAGTGAATGTTTAGGAACTGTCTACAGAAAGCTTAGCATTTACTCAAATATAGCCATTCTTGGAGCATCTTGATGGACACTGCTTACAAATACAAGTACATTTGACTGTTTTGCTTCACCAGCACCTAACTCATACTAAATTACATCTGATCTCATTGCAGACGGCCAGGGAAGACTGGAAGAGCATTTGTGTATGTCAGGCAAAATCAGCTAACTCTGCAAATTTTGTCTATTTCTAAACTTACTTTGATAAAGCATAAGCTCCCAGTCACTAATCATTTGTCTTTAGGTGCAACATAGTCAACAGTTTCTTGTTAAAACAATAGTGGCTGAGTTTAATTCTAGTTTTCTAAACATTAATTTCTTAAATAAGGTAGTTCTTTCTAAAAAGACAAAACACTTTAAAAAATTGCATCGTCTTCTAAATCTGTAATAAGAAAACGTAGCTTGTTTCAAATCACAGACCGCCTTAGACACCTACCTTAATAAGACAAATGGGTGCCATACTTCTCCGTAACTTAAAGAATCCACATTTGGATAACAGAGGCAAAGTCTAGTACCTGGAGGTTTGAACAGAGTAACAGATAAGGTGATGGAAAAGATCAGATTTACAGAGATACTGGGTGCGTATGTAGATAGACAGGCATCTAGGTGGATTTTCAAAAGCATCTGATCAGGCAGCTAAATATCACTTCATGTCAATGGATATTGTGCACCTAAATTGGTGAGACGTTTCTTTAAAGCCTACTAGAACTGTCTTTTTTGCATCGTCAGGCAACTTTGTAAATTTATTTTTCATAAGTAGATGCAGAGGGGGAAATAGAGTCACACAGAAAGCTACACAGATACACTAAAGCAGCATATCCAAGAGTTATGTTGTAATAGAGTTCCTGCCTTCTGCACTTATTAGATTTCATAGGCCCCTCAGTACACAAATGCGTGAAAAATATTTTCTTAGCATCCTCTCTCCTTTATATTTACGTCTGGTCACGCTGTTCTTACACTAGTGAAGCTCCCACTGACTTCCTGGGGAGTTTGGCCTGCAGATGTCTAACATCTTTGCCCCCTTCCTTCTCCTCCTCCCCAGCAGGATAAGGTTGTGTTTGTGTTAATTCACAGCTGTTAGGTTAGTCAGTGCTTGGGAACCAGGAGCTTTCAGCTGAGATTCTGTGCTAGTGCTCACGTTCAAATCGGACAGTTAAGCTTCATTAATGAACCCTCAGGAAAGCTTTTGTAGTCCTTTCAAATAAACATTTTTACTGTTTTTAAATAAAAGCTGGTTGGGGTCCTATGGAAAGTCCTTAACAGCTTGACTTGCCATCCTGGCATATGCTATACAGCTCTGATCTGGAAGAGGAAAGGCTTATGGCAAAACTCTCACTCACCCTTCCCTCACGTTCTCCCTTCACATCCTGCAGAAGGATCTGCTTTCCTCAGTGGGTGATTTTTGAAGGACAAGTTTCCGACACCGAGAAGGAGACAGGAAAAAGGGTAGTGGGGAAGAGATGAGGAAAAGGTATTCCCCAGGGATTTCTTCCAGCTTTCTTTTGTACATTCAAGAGCATTTCAATTTTGCTGTGTTCATTTAAACTGATTTTTCTCCTTATAAACTACATCCCGTAGGTATGAGAAGGCTTATGGGATCCTAGTTCCCGAATAACCATACTGTCTCGAGGCTTAGAGGCTGGGGTGATTTCTGCTCACCCTTTACCCTGGCACAGTACAGCTAAACTCAGGAATTGGGGAAATGGGAGTGGGAATAGATACTCATCACCCTTCACAAGGGGAGCTTATTCTGCAGCCATCTGACGCAGGACACACTTTGCACAGGAGCGCTCCGCGGACAGTGCTCTGGGGGTTCCCGCCAAGCGTGAGCAGATAGGGAGAGCAAGGGGGAGAGCCATCCCACACGCTTTCCCCTACTCACAGGCACCCCTCTCCCCAGGGTGAGATTTCATCAGAGAGGCCCTGATGGAGCTGCTCTCCCACCTTGGGCCTTTCTGCAAGGTCTCTCCTGCAGAGGCATGTCTAATCCTGCACTGAAGCTGGCTGCAGTAATTCTCACCATATACTTTGACGATTAACGAGACAGCCTAATTTTAACTGCACGCTGCATTATAGCTCTGGAAAAATGAGAATCTTTCCACATTAAATGAAGTTTCCCCTGCACTTGTAGTATAATGGAA